AATCATGAGACAAACGGGCGTAAGATCACATACCTTGGCGCCCACTTGGGCCAGTTCAGCGAAGAGGTAGTCCCCATTCACCTCAGAAGGAACTTGCCATGACTTGGCAGCCGTGATCGCCAGTCCCATGGCGCAACCTCGGTCAACGGCTGCCAATGGGGAGCAGCGCAAGTCAATGCGCCGAACATCGGAGCGGCGGGGTTGGAAGATTGGGGGGCGCCCGTCGGGGCCAACATAGCGCCCCTCCTCGTTGAGATGATATTGGGCGCCCTCATCCTCCCCACCGGCAGCACCGGCGCCTTCCTGCCTCTTCCCCTTGTCCACCCTTTTGCTGGCGGAGGCCAATGGGGAGCCAACCCTTTTTCCCCGACGAAGAAGGGGTTCCTCTTCCTCCTCTTCTTCCGCGGAGTTAACTTCCTGTTCAACAGGATCCGCGGGCTCTGAGTTAGGCGCCCCATCGCCTCCTTCCGGGGCGGAAGACGCCACACTGGCGGTCTTTGCATGCATGGTGCCGCCCTTCACCGCCCTCTTCTTCTTTTTGGGGACAGAGGTAGGGGCCCGTGATTGAGTTGCGGGCACCTCGGGCGCCTCTTGTCGAGCGAGCGGATGCGCCCCCGCCGCCATCGCAGCAAGCCGACTCTTCATCAGCTTAGCGATGCTTGAGTAATCCGACCTTGCACATTGTGAAAACAAATTAGCTTACGACATAACAAAGGCAAAGGAACAGAATGCCTAGACGCCTACAAACCATCATTATAATAAGCCTCTATAATTGGTGGGCGGTTTTCGGCAGGACGCAAGTCCACGGGCTCCGCACAAATTAAGCGGGCACCATTCGTCTCTGCTTGAGAAAGAGCCACCGTCGAGTTAAAGTCTTCAACATGACCCCAACTCCCAATGCCTAAGGAAGGCGCCTCCACTCTCGAAGAAGGAGTCCCGATAAGCCTTCACGAAGAAGAAGCCGTTAAACCAGCTTCGCTTCAACTTGGGACACCGTGTCACGAAATGATAGGGGTGCTTCTTCCGTTTTTGGAGGGATAGGCAGTTGTCAAGAGGCGCCATCTTGAAAAAGTATATGAACAAGTTGAAGGTGGGCTCCACGTTATGCTACCGGCACCTCAACTTGAACAGGATGACGACTGTAATAACCGAGGGAGACAGGCGCCCCAGTGGGCAGCCGCAAGTCGTCAAGATTCCCTCCATGATTGGGTCAAGGGGAAACCGCAGCCCAAAGCGGAAATACTCTTGATACACCCCAATCCACTTCGGACCGCAGACGCCTACCCGGGATATGGCTGAAGGAGGCGCGTACCACCAATCACGCGGAAGCTAGAGGCTGGTCACCAGTTCGTGGACGCGAGCCAAAGTGACGGTGGACGTATGCTGTGGCTCGGCCACTTCGAAGGGCAAATGGGACGTCTCGGTCGGAAGATGGTCGGGAGGAAAGCATTTATCCCAGGTGGTGATCTTGTAGGATCGGTCCGCGGGTAGAAATCCAGGCGCCGTGGAGCTTGATGGCCCGGCAGATGTTGAAGCAGGCGCCCCTCTAAACCAACAAACGACCCAGACGCAACGTGGACGCGGGGTAAGTGACGCCCTATCCTATGTAACTAGAACAAAACTCAACGAAACCAACGAATGAAAGAGGACTCCTTACCGCCTTGGGCCGGACGCCTTGCCTCACCACCTGCGCCAGAGGCGCCTGCGCCTGAAGCGCCCGCGCCAGATGCGCCTTGTCCAGAAGCTTTGTCTTGTTGTGGGGACGACATGTTGGACGAACACAAGAAAAGAAGGTGACGAAAGCAAAGTCTGACAGGAGAGAGGGCAAAGCAGAATCTAGAGAGAGGTCAGAGCGAAGTCTTAGAGAGAAGTCAAATGGAAGAAAGTGACAGGAACTAGAAGGGGGAGGGGTATTTAAAGGGGAGGAAACCCCAGCCAAGTCTCGCGCCGCGTGCCACGTGTCAACACCACGGACGGGCTCTTCAGCTTACCCCACTTTCTCACTTTTTTGAAAATCCCGAAATTCAAATTGCGAACCAATATCACGGGCGGACTTTTGAGCTTCCCCCACCCTTTCCTTTTTGGGGAAATTTCCAGAATCCCAATTTCGAATTTTCTTTTAATTCGAAATTCCAATTTCCCTGGCAAGCAAAGCGTGGGGCTCACGTCAAAATTCTCCCGTGAGGGGGGCATAAGGGTTAGGGGCGTCCATCACAATAGACTCCATGAAGAAGCACCCTTGAAGAGGCGCCCATGGATCACAAACAGGAAGCGCGCAAACAGGAAGCATCAACAAGGGCTGGGCGACCATAAGCGAAGAATGGTCGGTAAGAACGCCCACGAACCGCGAAAAGCATGCGAACACAGAGGAGGGCGTCGCAGAAAGCAGGCGCCCGCAAAGAAAGAGGATACAAGGCCGCGACAAGAGAACCAGCCAGGCGCTCAAGGGCTAAACCATGAGCACCTGACTGGGGGGGGGCAATTGTTGGGGGTATTACCCAGCAATTAATGGTCTGGGCCCCCAAAAAGTAGAATTGGGGGGCAAGGCCCGAAAATGGTTCCACTAGAAACCATTAGGCCCAAGCAAGAGGAAGGGCCCAAAGGGACAAAACACTAGAAGCCAAGAGGAGACCAGCTGTCAGGTGGTCCACTGCCTGCGGGCGCCTGTCGCGTGTCAGAAGCCTGACAAGGCAGTTGGATGTCTGACAAAGAGGGCACAGAGCATTAAATTGGGACAGTGACGTGGAGGAGATCAACCTCGAGTTCGGTGAGTATAAATAGGGGCAGTTGGTAGCATTTACACAGGTTGGACTCTCTCACTAAAACTCCTACTTTGTGATCCTTTCCCTCTCTAAGGATCTAACTTGGGCGTCGGAGGATTAACGGGCCCAGGCGCCCTCCTCCTCTTACGTGTGTGTAGGCAGGCGCCAGTCGGAGTGAAGAACCGGGAGTCTCGGCGGGTATCGTGGCACAAACACTTAACAATTAGCATATTCGTTCAAACGTATTTTATCGAAACGTACAAAATTAAAATTTTAGTAACCGTTTTATACTAAGTGATAAGTTGTGTTACTGTTTATGATAAGCAACCTCTGTTTTCATAACCGAACCGGAGGCTGAACCGGAAAAGTTAATGGTTTAGGGTTCAATGGTTAACCGTTAGAAAATCGTTGGTGAACCGTTGATAGAACCGTCCATGATATATAACATATAAAACTTGTATATTATACTAACTAAATCATTTCAACCATCTCACAAAAGAAACCAACTTTTTTTAAATTCAAATTAAAAATTACTATTCTAGTCGGTAGTAGACAACGTAAAGTTGACAACAAAGTTGAGGAAGCATACATAAAATTGATAATTATGATTTGATGGTCTTATTTTATTTTAAAGCATTTTGTTTTTGTAAATTAGTGGACTAGTGGAACAGTTATACCCAGTGGCGGATCCAGGACATAAGAGAGCACTGGGCCGTAGTTGAATAGAATATTAGATACCATAAACAAAAATATATAATAATATAATTTTCATTACAATGTCAATTGTACAAGAAGGTATTTTAATTTAGCAAATTCATCAATAATATAATCTCAATCCATACTGATAATATACTCTTTTTCAAAGAAAATAGCTAAGTAATCAACAAGAAATTCATCGCTCATTTTGTTGCACAAATCAATGTTCATGTTTCATTGCTGAAAATATTCTCTTCATGGTAGTTGTTGAAACGGCTAGGTCAACACTAGACAAATCAACCGACAAATCAATTTGTATTATGTGTCCATCCCTGTTTTCTTCAGGTTCTCTAATAATTTTGCAAGAGAAGAAACTTCATCCTCACACATTCTCCAAAGAATGCATCTCATAGCCTTCAAAGTCTCGAGGCTAAACTCTTGAGCAAGTTTGTAAATATTTTCTTCATCAAAACACCAGAAAGAACGGTTAGAATCTAGTGCCCCACTCAATTGAGGCAATCTAAATGATGACTCAGCAAGTCTGTAAATATTTTCTTAATCAAAACAATGGAAAGAAAACCAGCTCGACGGGCTGGAGGAGAAATCCATTTTGGATCTGCTCGTCTCCTCGTTCTTGTTTTGTTTTGGGGGGATTGGGAAATTTTTTGAATTTTGAAGGGAAGGTTGTGCTTTAGTTTAGATTTTTTTTAATAAAACTTTACACTTTTAGGTTTTCATGTCTTTTTTCAAATAAAATCATTGGGGCTATAGAAAATTTAGTATAAATTTAGAGTAATGGTTTGGTTATGTTCATCTGAACCATTTTTCTAGTTACACAAACTCCTATTATCAAATAAAACTAGACAGAATTTTAAATAGCACTGGGCCAAATACCTAAATCGAAAATTTTATAAGCACTAAACTAACTCTGGATTCGGAGGAGGGCTGGGCCGGGGCCTGGGTTGGCCCAGCCCTGGATCCGCCACTGGTTATACCGTGCTGGTTCATTTGATTTTATGTTGAACCGTGAAAAACCGTTTCGTCCATAAATAACCATTCAAACAATGAACCGGACCGCTATCGTAATTAGTTTGACGGTCTGTTAACCCAACCATTGATCCGGTTCGATTCTCATAACAATGATTACAACCGTAAACTTACCTAAAACCCCGTTCAGCACCCGGCAGAAAGGGGCAATACTGTACTTCCACAATTAGATATTCCCGGTAAAGAGCACAATATCAAACTCCCGTGACTATCCGATTATCGCAAACGCACAGCTCAGCAAACTATGATGACAAAGCACGCGGGCCCCACTTGACCTCTTCCCGCTCCGCCTTACACAGAAGATATTTTATCATTGATCTCATTTCACTCCCGCCGCGTTGCCGGGTTAATTCAGGAACTGAACCACCGATGCAGGTTACCCCATCTGACCGGCCAGACCACCCCCTGGTTTTCTACTACAAAATAATAATAATACATTTCCCCGCCTAAATAGGAATATCGGTCAACCCGAATAACGTAGCGCGAACATTACGCAACCTTTGCTCCGAATCCGAACGGGATAATTTGAGACATAGCCGGCCCGGCACCTAAACCCACGCTGAAAGATGCGCATTGCGCACCCTTTTCCACCGCCTAACTAACCCTAGTTAAGGGAACCCCCGGCTCTATATAATCATACCAGACCCACGCTCTCTCTGCTCATTCTCACCCAAATCGGCCTCTTCTCTGACAAATTCAGTTAGGTTTTTCTTTTTGGGTATATAACAATGGCTTCCGCCGATCTTGAGTACCGGTGCTTCGTTGGTGGCCTGGCCTGGGCTACCACCGACGAGGCACTCCAAGAAGCCTTCAGTCACTTTGGCGAGATCGTCGAATCGAAGGTCCGTTTGCTGTCATCGGATCTGACCTCCACTCGGCTATGTCGATCCAGGATCTCTGATCTACCTAGCTATCCCCCGATCTGTTTCTGTTACTAGCTACTATTGATCTCTGTGTTACTCTGTTACTCATGTTACTAGCTACTACGTTTTTCTCTGTTACTGATCTCTCTAAACCAATCGGTACGTCCGTCTTCATCCTTTGGGAGGAGATCGATCGATTTTTCTTTTTTCTTTTTTCAATTCTTCAATTCCTTTTTTTCAATTCCTTTTCTTCTGTTCGAATTTTGAAATTCGGCTGTGTATCTCTTTCCGCGATCCGAATTACGCGTTCTGTGTAGATCTGACGGATCTGTGAACCTTTGTTATGTGTGTGTGTGTGGAATTCTGTTCAGGTCATCAACGATCGGGAGACAGGAAGGTCTCGAGGATTCGGATTCGTGACCTTCAGGGACCAGCAGGCGATGAAGGACGCGATTGAAGGGATGAACGGCCAGAATCTCGACGGCCGTAACATCACCGTCAACGAGGCTCAGTCCCGCTCCGGCAGTGGCGGCGGCGGTGGTGGTTACAGGAGTGGTGGACCCCGCAGAGACGGCGGCGGAGGCGGCGGAGGTGGATACAATCGTGGATATGGAAACGGCGGTGGTGGTTATGGCGGCGGCGGTGGTGGTTACGGAGGCGGTGGATATGGTGGTGGCCGGGACCGTGGTTATGGCGGCGGTGGTTACGGAGGCGGCGGCGATGGCGGTTCCCGCTACTCTTCCAGGGGCGGTGGTGCCTCCGACGGAAACTGGAGGAGTTAGATGATTATAGATTAGGAGGGATATGTGGAAGGTGTCATGATTTTGGATTAACTTTGTGTTTAAAATTAGCCGTGGTTCTGATCGGTTTGGTTCTTGGTTACTTGCTTGTCCGAGTTCTGGTTCAGTGGTTCTTGTTCTCTCTGTGTGTCCGACTGTCCGTTGCATTGGGTTCTTGTTCGCGTTTCGGGTTACTGTTCGGGTTTACGGTTACGCTCCCATGGAATTGTTGTGTCTGGAAAATGAATGAATGGAAACTGAGTACATATCTTCATTTTGCAAAATATCTGAGTCTTTGGCGCCGTTATTATCTTCGGTTCGTTATCACTGACAATTATGGCTGACCTGCACTGCACGAAAAGTGAAAGAGAGGTGGGTGGGGGCTGGTGACGTGCATGTGACGTGAGACTTGAATGGTCTTTTGATGTGATATGATTGTGAGCCTGGTCTTGTCGTTGGGCTTTGTATTGGCCCGGCCCAGTAACAATTTGGCTGGTAGGTTTTGTATGCGTTGTTATGGGCTGGGCTTTTTACATAAGTAATCGGGACGATGACGGAAGCCCAAAGAAGAGGTTATGAGTGTAAGCGTGATGAAAACCTCTAGAAGCGGACAGATCATAAATCGGGCGTTCCAATCCAATGAGTCGTCTGTGAGTACGTTCTTACAAAATGCATTAGAGTACTGTAATCAGGATCAAATAACAAGTTATTATTGGTACATAAAATAGTGAGAAAGTTTTCACAAGATGCAGATGAGTTATCTTGTTCAAGACTGTGCTAGGAGGCTGGTGGTAGTGATGGTAATTTGAACTCGCCCCGCGGGTATATATTTCTCTTATTTAGATTTTTCTTCAACTAGTTAGAGTCAGATTTTTTTAATTTGTTAGATTCAATCATCAATTTGATCATCACTGTTTTCCATTCATAAAGTGTTTCCTCCTTCGTTTTATTGTAAAAAATAAAATTTACTGTGTATTTTTTTCAAATAACATGTAATTGTGGGTCGACCCTCCCCGTCCTGTACCCGCGCGGGTTTTACCCGTCCAGACGCGTAGTAGCATGAGACGAGACATGAGAATTGAACTATTGAAGTACCCGGCCCGCTCCCTAGCTGGTGGAAAAGTCTGGAGACAGATGTCCTCAGTTGTTGGACTTCATTATACTGGGATTGCCCAACTTTTTTTAGCCAAAGTTCTTGGCCACTCAAGATAGTCTACTTCTGGTTCACAATTGTGTGTTTTAGAGAGTCACGCTTAACAATAGCGGAGCTAGAATTTGAAACTAGGCGTGTTAGTTTTTTTTCCAAATATAAATTATTTTAATGGGAGATTTTGTTTTTGGTATAATAAATAAAGGGTGAATTACAAATTTGATAACTGAGATTACTAATTTGTTACACATTTGTCGTTAATTTTTTTTTATTACATCGATAGTCACTAACTTTATACTCTTATTCCATCAATGGTCATTTGCCAACGCTGTCCATCTCCGTTATGGTAATCAAACAACAAGAATTTAGCTTTTATGCTATAACAAAATACCCTTATATTACCTTCAAGATGGTGAGACTGAGATCGATTACTTGCATAACTATACATAGCAGTTTTTTTTTAACCCAAAATTACTTGTGTCCCATGACAAAGCCAAAATCTTTAGCCTCCACTTATGAACTCAAAACAAAATCTATCACCTTCTCAGTTAGGATTAGGGCTGTCCATTTGGTTTTGGTTTTTTGGTTTTAACCAAAACCAAACCAATTGAAAAGCTAATGATTTCAGTTTTTTGGTTTTAAATCAATAAGCAAACTTAATGGTTTTGGTTTGGTTAAAACCGAAAAATCAATAGAAACCATTACGAAACCAATAAGAATAAAATTATTTATCAACAAATATTTTTTTTTTCTTTTGGCAACACCGAAAACCAATAAGGGTCTTAATGGTTTTGGTTTTGGGATTTGGTTTTTGGTTTTTTATATTTAATGGTTTGGTTAGCCAAACCAAACCAAATTGACAACCCTAGTTAGGATAGAGTCAGATGTTTTTGAAGGCCCGAATGCTCACCGGCCATCTCCAAAATGATGTTGTTTCATGGCTTGATAGTCCAAGCTCTTTACTTCTTCTTTTTCCCCCTCCTGGTGTTTGGCTATTTCTAGTTTGGAAACCCCACCTTAGTAAAGAGCCATTTTTCGACCCGTCTAGCTTCTTTCTTTCCTATACGTACACATTCGTGAAACATACATTTACCAGAATGAAAGATACGTATAGATAGCACTCTTCCCCTCCACAACCGAAACCAATCTCTTTCGGAGTGACTCCTACAACACCGTCCAGCCAATTATATACGAGATCTCTTGCTATGGAGATCAGTAGCAAAAAGGTTTAGTTGTTATTGGTGATGTAAAATCAATTCTAAGGTAAGAAAAGAAGAAGGGAAGAAAGAAAGAAAGAGGCTCTACATGTTCCTGTCTCAACCACAGAACCGAACTCAGGGGGACCGAAAAAACAGAGCATGATCCTCTTTCCTTTTTATCTGTTCGAATGCAAGTATGCAACTTTCTATCGTTACAAGGAATTGACTGCTACTGAGCTACTGGCTCTCTTTTTCTCTTCCTCATTGTTTAACTGGTGGAGAGGAATGATAAATAAGATTTATTTTTGTAAAAATATTTGAGGATAAAAATATTCTTACTCTGGTACTAGGGTGTTAATCGTGGAAAGGGTTTTGTGTGTTGAATCATGATGAAACTGTTGATATAACCAACTATTTAAGCACGAAGCAACAGGTTTAAGCAAATTTGAATGTTGCAAATAACTTTTTTTGTTTGAGAATGACATACAAAGGAAAAGGCATTGATTAATCCATTTATGACTAGAGGTTACAGTTTTGTATCTAGGGTGGCAACGGTTAACGGGTATTTGGGTATACCCGTACCCGTCCCGTTTTTTGAGGGTTACGGGTACCCATAATATCCGTAATATTATTAACGGACGGGACTTGAGATTGTACATTACTACAATGGGTACCCGCGGGTTACCCGCAAATACCCATTTGGATAATATGGGTACCCATTAAACCCATTCATTATATAAAGGCTGAAAGCCTGAAACTGAAAGGACAAAGCGCACCGCGCAACCAGCGCCCAACAACTCGCCTCGACTCCTCTGATCTCTCCTCAGGCTGTATTCTCTTCGATCGTTGCGGCAATCATAATCTCCGTAGCCCAGTTGTCGTTCCAACCAGCCATGGCAATAATAATTCTCATTTTTGCAGGTTGCAAGCTTGCAGCTGCCAGCGGGATCAGCGGAATTGGAATTCGAAATTGGAAGATTGTAGAACACCCAGCAGCTTGCTAGTTGGAACAAACTGCAGCGTGCCGGTTGGAAGTTCCCCAAATTAGTTTTACAGCAACTAATTTTATAATTCCAACTTGCAACTAACAGCAGTTTCTTACTTTCTTAGTTATTAATGTTATGGGTGCTTGGAATGCTTTATTCTAAGCCTTGTAATTGTTCATGAATTTGTAGGTTGTAAACCGAGTATTTTTAATTGTGTGATTTGGGATGAATTTTGTAATATCCATATACGTATGGATATTGTGATTGTTAAGTAGGGGTACAAGTTAAGTTTAAACTTTTATTAAAATTTTAGTGATTCAAACTTTGGGTATTTATGGGTAGTATGGGTACCCGTTATCCGTCCCGTACGGGTAATGGGTACCCGTTTACTTATATGGGTTGGGACATGGGATGAATTTTGGTCTCCAAATGGGATTGGATACCCGTTTCAAACGGGACGGGTATCCCGTCCCGTCCCGTTGCCCACCCCTAATTTGTATCTAATCCAAATATCCAATCCATCCACAGATCCACTAAAATATCTAATTTATCAATTTCATATAAATCAAATCTATTTAATTAAAATTCAATCGTATTGGTAGATTTATATAGGAGTGGTAAATGGTTATTCAGTTATCAATTTTTATCGATAATAATCGGTCACAATGTTATGTAATGTCCATTACATATTGAGATGCAAATTATAAACCATTAACTGTATCTAAGTCACTAAAAAAACTTTGAATTTTCTTTACATAATTGGTTGATGAAGTAATGAAAGATTTGATAGAAGCACTAGCCATCTTCGTAGGAGACAAATTGGCGGGAGGTGTCTAAATTAAGGGGATCTTCCTAATTTGTGAGGAATTTATTATAAATGTCAGCCAACTTGCCTAATTACTAGTTGAAGAATTGTGTTTGCGGGTTAATCCACAACCAACCACACACATCCGCCACCCATCCAACCTGAAGTAGTGTGTAGGTGGATTGCGGGTCACAATTGTACCAACTCATTAGTAAGCCAGAGGGTCAATTTAAAACCGAAACCCACCCAACCCACTCATTGCCCACCCCAGCACGTGGAAGTAGTTATTGGTTTGTTAACTGTCAAACTAATCGCTAATCGAATAGATAACAAACGATTAAGCGATAAGCTTTATTGGTTCGGTTTTCGGCATGCATTTTTTGCTTAGTTAATCACTAACCACCAAATCGATCAGTAGTTAGCTGAAACCAAACCGATTAGCAACCTTCGATTATGGATTGGATTCATGGATATTTGAAAAATTACAGTTTAGTACTTATAGTTTACATTTGATACCTAAATTATAATATTTTATGTAAAATCATTAAAAAACTACGTTTTGGTATCTAATTTTTTATTATTATGACATTTTAGTATTTAAATTTTTTAAAATTTTACATATGTCACTTAAATACATAAATACAAATATACAATCCACCAATTTTTTTTTATCCAAATTCATGAATGCACTAATCCATTTATCACCGATCATTTCCCAACTACTCGAATTAGTAGGTTGGAACCAGTTTAAAGTAGGTATCATAAAGCAAGCATAATCCAGTGCTGCTGCTTGTACAATTCTTGGACACACAGAGAGCATTATTCATTCTATCTTTCCCTCTTGCATATTCCCCACCATGCTT